CCCTACCTCTGCAAGTTTGTATCAGTTTTCTTGATGATATTTTGGTGTATAGCCGGTATGAGGCAGAGCATGTGGAACACTTGAGGATTGTGTTAGTAACATTGAAGGAGCATTAGCTGTATGTCAATTTGAAGTGTTTTTTTTTGCACAACAAAGGATGTAGTATTTAGGGCAGTGGTGTCTAAATCAGGAGTAGCTTCAGATCTTTCCAAGATAGATGCTATGTTGGAGTGGACATTACCCAAAACCTTGGAGTTGAGGGGTTCTTGGGACTCAGTAGGTATTACAGAAAGTTTAAGAGGGGATACAACTCTATAGCATGGTCGTTGACAGAGCAATTAAAGAAGGATAGTTTCAAATGGTGGGAAGTAGCAACCCAGACATTTGAACAGCAGAAGAAAGCCATGACGAGTATCCTATGTTAGCACTACCAGATTTCAATTAGCCATTTGTTGTGGAGAATGATGCATCGGGCTATGGGTTGGGAGCAGTTCTCATGCAAAGTTAAAGATCCATAGCTTATTTTAGCCAGGTGTTGATCGCGAGGGCCAGGCTGAAATCAATGTATGAAAGGGAGTTGATGACGATAGTATTGGCAATACAGAAGAGGAGACCTTACTTGTTGGGGCGACATTTCATAGTCAAGACCAATTAGAGGAGTTAGAAGTTCCTGTTAGAATAGAGGATGGTGACAGGGGAGCATCAATGATGGTTTTCAAGTTGTTGGGTTATGACTTTGAGATCTAGTACAAGTTCGGGCTAAAAAATAAAGCTATAGATGATCTCTCCAGGCGTAGTGAAGACTCTCAGGTTATGGCTCTATCTGTTCCCACGGTGCTGGATTGGGAGGCCTTGAAGTGTGAGAGCGAGCAGGATGAGGAGCTGAGTAAGATCAGAGGAGACTTACTGCAGGACAAGGATATAGCCATCCTGGTTAGAAAACATATCATAGACTAGTAGCAGAGCTATATTGGGTGGGAATACGAAAGGATGGAGAGGAGTTGGTGGCTAGTTGTGATGTGTGCCAGAGGCACAAATACTTAGGTATGGCTTAAAGTGATCTTGTACAGCCTTTAGCATTAACCGAGAAAGTCTGAGACTTCATCAAAGGACTACTTAGATTAGAAGGGTTCACTGTGACTCTAGTGATGGTGGACAGACTCAGCAAATTTTGTTCATTTCATTCTCTTATGCCACTCATACACCACGGTGTTGGCATGAATTCAAGTTTAGTAAGCCAAGAAATTCCTTCATCTCCTAAGCATTTTCACACCTTTATTGGAATATCATCAGGTCTAACAGTTTTTCCCATACATTATTTTCTTTAATTGCCTCTCTAACTTCAATTTTACTAATACGCCGATAAAAATAAAAATCTTTATTTTCATTTAGGATGTTAAGGTCACTAAAGTCAATCATATTCTTACAATTATTCATTGAAAAGTTTAACAAAATGTCTCATCCACCTTTGTTGAATATCTTCTTCGAATAAAAATACTTTTTGATTTTCATCATTAATGCATTTCACTTGCACTAAATTCTTACTACTGCTATCTCTTTGTTTGGTTAACTTATACATATTTCTTTCGCCTTAATTTATTATATAAATTATTAATAGCTAAAATCTTTACATCGCATATTTTTTTCTTAGACTTCATACGTGCATTTTTATATATTTCTCAATTATCAGAGTTTTTACATCTAAACTATATTTTATCCTCTTATTTATCTTTTCTTGCACATTTTGATTTCACCGCCAACTGTTTTTATTATTAGGAGCTTTTTCCTTTGATACTCCAAGCACATCTTTTGCAACATTCTCAGTATGACTATCTACTTTTTCCCACATAACATTAACTTTCTCATGTACAGATAAAATCTTAAGATCTAGAATCTGACGCTCAAAAATATTTTTGTTAATGGTACGTAAACTTTTACTCGGAATAACTTTACAATTTAAACGATCTCTTTTTCTTACAAGGTCGTCCCAAGTTTTGGATGAGAAAGGTGGAGGGTTGCGTTAGGTAGTCGACAATCAGGACAAAACTTGTCGAATAATCATGACATGATTCATTTAATAGTTATTCATGCATAATTAAAAAAACATTGAAATAAATTTGGTAATATTTAATGAATATGGTATTAAATTAGACAAATTAGTCATACTAATTGAGGAATTGAATCAACAGTCATCAATATTTAGACATACATCAAGTACTAATGAAGAGATGTGTAGTAGGTAGCCTTTTGATAGGAAACACTTGGATTTCCAAGTGTTTCTCACCAAAACCAAGTAGATCTAATGTAAAACTGCTGTCCACAGCAGAAATCAGCCAAGAAACAGGGAAAAAACAGGAAGAATCGCTAGAAATCTGAGAAGAAATCACACAAATCTATTGTATTCCAATAGTAGAAGCAAGACAATAAGAAAGATACAATTTTCCTTCAATTTGAGAGGAAGGAAGACTCTCCACAATCTCTGGCAACGCCAAGAGCCCAAGAACCAAAACCTAGATCTCCAAATAAAATTCAAATTCAAGATAACCCTAATTCCCCCCTCATCTCCCTAATTAAACATGAAAGGAGTATTACAAAAGACCTAAATACCCCTTTTAATTCAAATTTTCCCTCCCACAATTTGAAATTGACTCCAAGTGGGCCCCTCAGCTTTTCCGCCCCCCTCCCTGTTCGCCTGGCTTCCGCCTGGTGTAGACCAGGGGGATGGACCCTTCCCTGGGCTGTAATGCAGAAAGGCCCTACATCTTATTCTCCCTGTGACGCGACTATGAGATTTCTCTCTACTTCAACTGCATATTCATGTCCTTTCCATTCATTTGTTTTCCATGCTGTCCTATTTTTCCACTTTTACATCCATGCCAAATCCATAAAGAAAGCTTGTCTTTAGGAGCATCCGCTGCTTTGGCTGTCATGCATGAGCCCATCACTCTCATAAGACCCACTTAAAGATAACGTGCAGATCTTGCCTTAACCTAAATAGTGAAAGGAATTTGAGCCGAATGGTGAAATGTGAGAGAGGCTGTAACTTTTGCTGCCATTGTTTTCAAGGCCCCAAACTGTAAAGAAAAATATATTTTTGAGATGAAAATTGTTGTAATCGTTTGAAGTCATTTTGCAAACCTAGGGATATGGGTTGTTCTTCTATTCCCTCCTATGAACTTAAAAAAAAAAAAATCAGGAAGTAAATAAGAAGAACGTGATCTGATAAATAAACAGTGCTTAATGTTACTGAAGTTTTTAATTTATTGCTCAACGATCTGTTCTTCAAATTTACATATAGGCTTAGGTCCTTCGCAATTTTATCATCGTAAAAAACGGGCTAGTCCCTCAATTTTCCCCCCACACACAAAAAAGAAATCTCTTCTACAAATTTAGACTTTGTTTGGGACAGCTTTCTTACTATTTCTTAAAGCAGCTTTCTAGTACAAAAATTAAAGCTTTGCTAGAAAGTTGCTTTAAGAAGCAGAAAGAAAGTCGTCCCAAACGAAGCCTTAATGTGTTACTAAAACTGCTGGGTGTGCTGTCTACGTTCATTCACCTTACCCACCATTTTTTTCTACTCTCCGGAATTTCCTTTTTGGGGTGTAGTTTAAAAGAGAACGACTTTCCACTTATGGGAGAATCATTTTCAGTTGGAGCCCATTCTTTGCCTCTTATTTCTTGAGTTTTTCTACTGTTTTCCTATTATTTTTCTGTGGCCCTTAGTTATTCTTCAGGGAACCTGCACATGCAATAAGATACATTGAGCTTGACCTCCATCTGGCATCATTACCCAATTAAGAGAAGTTTATTTAAATAAAATGAAGATTTCGAAGAAAAAAAAAGCAGTTTGCGTTAATAAATGATCACCTTTGATTTTTCTTATTCCTCTTTGCCTGTCACCTCTTGCCTACAGGATGCAAGCTCTTGTTCTGAGCGGTGTCTTACTTTGACATTGAATTTGTATGCTCATTTATCTTCGGGTTATCAAATGAAATTTATATGATATCTTCTGACCATTGGTTCCATCCACTGGCTTTTCTTCCAACCTATTATTAGGAAAATTAAAGATAAAATAAAGAATGAGGAAATAAGCTAAATCTTTGCAAGTTGCACTATTCTTGAAGGCTTAACTTTCTTGATTATGGAGCCAAGTTATTGGCTACATATTTATGTGTTAAATTGAGAGAATGAAAGGGACATAAAGGGGCGGTGGGGACCTTATCACTGGCTCTTTGTTCTATTGGGCTAAAGCTAGATCCTTCTTGGAGTTGTCCAGATCACCTTAATCAAAGATAATTGCATCAGAATGCAGTGGTTTTCTTTTTATATTTTTTTTTTACCAAACTCTATATAAGAACCAGCTTCACCTTCTCTTCACATCTCAGGGACGCCTCCCTCTTTCCTTCTTCCCCTACACCATCCTCTCCACCCTCCTTATTTTCCTTTTTCTTTTCATATTTCTATTTCTGCGGATAGGAATAAATATTTTAAAGATAGGGTGAAATTTTGAGGTGTTTTTTTTTTCTCATCTATGGCTTTACATGGAGGCTCAGGAAGTATGGTGCAGCCAAGGATGACTTGCCGACCCCGACATAGAATTTGTTCTTAGAGTTTAATCTCACTTACCATCTTTAGAAGAAATTTAGAGGAGTAAGTGGGCAAGTTGTCTTTGGCTACATGCTACTTCTTGCTCCCCATGTTATGCTTTTTGATGATAATGTCAATGCGGGGGGGGCTTTCTGATATATGAAAGCAAACCGTTTGTTCTTGTTGATTGTGAGTTCGTGCTTCTTCTTTGAGCAACTAGATGGGCAAGTTTTGCTGAACAGTTCCCTAGCCTGAATTCTCTCTCTCTCTCTCTCTCTCTCTCTCTCTCTCTCACTCCCTCTTACTCTTTCTCTCTCTCTCTCTCCCTCTCTTTCTTTTATGATTTATTTCTTTAAGAGCTGTAGATTCTTTCTTTTTATGTGCAATGCTGTTTTTCCTTTTACTACATATCACGCTAGGACTGTTTAATATTTTTTGTGAAGGGTTAATTTTAAGGGTATGTAATAAGTGCTATTGCTTATCAAATTGATTTGTTAGTGCCACACCATTATATAAATTTAGGCTTTGTATGGTATGACTTTTTTATTGCTTTTTAAAGTAGAGTTTTTGCACAAACATTAAAATTTTTGCACTAAAACTCTATTTTCAGAAGTAATAAAAAAATCGTCCCAAATGAAGTCTTAGTTAATATTCCTTAGTTTTTTTTAATCTATATTACTAAGTCAAGCTCATGATAAAATATGAAATTGTGAAATTATTGTGGAGCTCTGATTATGCCTGAATCTGAACAAATTGGAACAAGTATAACTGCTTCATTTTGCCGTTTTGGATTCTAAGTTCTATATGATGTCACATGAACAGACTAATATCTAGCCTTGCCTGTTTTCAAACCGTTTCATATTTGTAACATTGTCTTTTATAGTTGTTTTGCAAAGCTCTTTTCAATTAATAAATCATCCCGGTTTGAAATGCATAAGTAGCAGTAGCACTTTACAGAACCAGTATATATATATCTTCCAATATAGAATTATAAAACTAATTTTGACCCTTCGACAAGGTGGACTTTTTCCTTTTGCGCGAGGATTTTGATATGTGCATCCACAAAATTAGCTACTGAAAATATGTTCTCAGGTAACAAGTCTATCCTTTGCGTTGGTGCAAATGTTCCAGTTCTTCTTGAACTTCTTCAAGTTTTTAAAATTTTCTTTTATGTTCCAAGTACTCTTTAATTTTTGCACAGGCAGTTCTAAAAATAGCCACTTGTTGGCTGTCCCTTCTGATTCACTGTGCTGGCTAAATATGCTGTGATCCCACATTCCTCTCCCTCGCTAGTACCCTATTTCTGTCAGTGAAGGGATCGTCACATGTGCTCATGGATTCTTTTTTTTTTTTTGGGAGAAAGACAAGTGAGAGAAATCAGTTGGTTTTGATTTAAAGATTCGGGCAAAGTAATAAAAAAATCATCCAATTTTTTTTTTTTATAATTTTTCCATTAACATTTAGAAAATGATAGAAAAATTATTATGATTTTAATTTTGATGACAATTTCATGTTTTTTTTAATGAAAAATACCAGCTGTGTGCTAGTAAAATAAGTCACTTTAATTATATGCAATAAATCGAAGTTTAATACAATCATCTGACTACTATTATTTGACTCATAATTTGCAAGTCACATTACATGTTTTATTGAGATTATAATTTTTATTAGTTTTGTGACTATGCTACCCTTTGACTTTATATTTTCTATGAGAAATGATCAAGTTTTTATCATAGTTGAATTGAAAATAAAATGATAGTTTTATTATTTTGATAATTATATTATCCTTTGATTTATTGCATATTTAATATGACATGTTCTATCATTTAATGTTTGATATTTTCTACATTAAATGATCAGTTTATCATCTAAATAAAAAACATTATTTTTTTCATTGTGGAAATATTAGCGGCCGAATTGTAAAGTAGTAACTTTTAAGAGTACTTCAACCTAAAGTTTATATTTATGTTTGTGTCTTCTGCCAAAAATTCTTAACCTTCTTATTGATTTTTTATTCTAAGAACCCTGGTTTATTGTTCATCATTAATTGAGAGATTATTAAAAGGGCGGTGCACAACAGCACAGTTATTTTTGTTTTTGCATGATATTCTCGCAGAATTGGTGCAACAGGGCTGTGTGTGTGGAGAAATTATTTTGTGCGGACGCCGAACGCAATTCACCATCCGGAGATCAACTAGAATGTGCCATGTCAGTAGAACCGAGCACGGTACCGAACGCAGTACCGTGCCGTGGTACCGAGCGGGGGTGATATGACGTATTCTTGTTGGTCTCTGGACGGAATTCGACATCCGCACAGAATAATTTGCCGTGTGTGAGCTCACTGAATAATCTCTCCGTATTGCACCATTTCGTGGATGCCAATCTCTTTTTTATTTTTTGACGTTTACAATTGAGCATAGATTAGTTTATAGTTTTCTTACAATATAGTATTTGCTATTCCTGAGTAATCTATGACGTCTGCATGAAAGAGCTCAGGTAACAAGCAACGAAACCATCAAAATATGAATCTGATCACACAATGATTCCATAAATGAGGTTTCATCTCATGTGTATTGACCAAATATCCTCTGAAAGATGCTCTTTACCCTACAAATTTGAATTGAAATTTTCCAACAATTGTTGTCCTTAAGCCAAAAGGATCTTACATGAGGTCAGGTACGGCATCGCAGATGACATTCTTTATAATTTTTTGGCCAACCACCATCATTTGCGTATTTCTTTAGAATAAAGCGTGCAAATACTTATCATTTCTGTAACTTGTTCATGTTCTTTTGTCAACAGGGAGTAGAAAATCAAATATAAAGAAGCTTTCGGAGGCCATCTATATTTTCCAACACGATCATGGTTAATTTTCTAACCATCTTGACTTAGCCTTCGACAAATCCTTTGCTAGTGATTTAGCAGTTGAACTATACTCGGATTAATTCTGCTACTAGCATCTTGTTGTTGGTTTTATTCTTTTTCTGTAGAGGTTATAATAATGTTCAAATTTAGAAGATGGCTTGAAAATTACTAATATTTTTTCAAGTGCTGAAATAGATTTGATTTCTTATTTTTTGAGAAATATTTTCGAGTTGATTTTGATTAACTTTAGCTTGTTTGAAATAATTTGTGAGTCAACTTTAAATTAAAATATATAAGATATTCAAAATTAAACTTGACTCTTACATTGCTTTAATGGTTTTAGCTTTGTTTAAACTAATTATTGGATTTATAGGGTCCAATGAGAGTTGATTTTGATTAACTTTACCTTTTTTTTTTTGCAATAAAGCCAAGGTGTTGCAAATGAGAAGCATCCTCTAGGTTTTCTTAGATTGTAGCTTTGTTGTTTATGATAAAACTTTGATGCCTTATGATTATGTTTAGGCTTTTTAAGTTTTTTTTTGTGGAGAATGGATGATTACTTTGTTGTCTTTATGCTACTTATTGCTTTTCTGTAATCATTTTTGTGAAGGATTTTTTTTTTAATGATCTTTTCCTGTGTAGTGGAGCTAGCCTTTTGCATGGTGGATATATCATCTATGAATAGTATGGTTTACATGCTCAGATCTCCTTGATTGCCAATTTTGATAGTAGGTCGTGGTCTTTGCAAGCTCAGTTAGATCGCTTGTTTATACCTTCCGAAAACTGAAACAATTGTTTCAAGTGCAGAAAGATCCGATCAGTTGCAGTATCTCAAACAGATTTAAAGTGGACTCAGATTAATCTTCTAGTCGAGTTGATTCAATTTGGATTCTAATTGATTTTGATTCAAATTTGGTTTCAGCACATGTAATCGATCTTAAGTTATAATTGAGGCCATATGGCTTGAATTCGACTCAATCTCATCTCTTTTTTTTTTTTTGGTCTTTTAGAATTACATAGATCCTATTGTTTTTACCGTCTCGTTAATTTAGATTTCGTTTGGGATAATTTTTTTATTGATTTCTACAGTATTTTCTAACACAAAAAATTTCTTAGGAGCAAAAAAATAGTGATGGAAGGTTGTCACAAACGAAATCTTATTTATTTCAAGTCGAATACTTGAAATTACTTGATGTTTAGGCTTTGTTTTAGACACCTTTCATACTACTCTATAAAGCAGAATTTTAGTGCATTTTTTTTTAAATTGTAATAAAAATCATTTTAAAAAATAATAAGAAAGTTGTACCAAATGGAACCATAGTCCATAGTTTGAAAAGGAGTCTTAGTATATATATTTGCTTTTGTAAAAATTCACTTCTTTTGTGAATTGGTTTAATTTTTATATGGGCGATAATGTGTTTTTTTTTTTACTTATTTACATATTAACTTTGTATTATTATATTATTATTGTAATGAATTATATTATTCTTTTTCCACCCTAATTTAGAAGATGTACTTTGATAATATAAAAAGAGATTAATTATATCTGATATGTCAAGTGATGTTTTGTTTGCTCATCTTGTTAGTAAATCGAGAGATTATGATGTGATGCATGGTGACTGGTTAGATAATCACAATTCTTTAGATGGTGGTGAGAAAATTATTGAGAAATGTTTGAATTTGCGAGATAATTTTGATTTAAGTATTATTCAATTTGCTGAGAATGGTGGTTCTAAAAAGGGTGCTAAGCGTGGATGATATAAATTTAAAAAAAAAAAAA